CCACTTCCAAGAAGAGATGGATGAGGACCAGGTGGCAGCGGAGGAGCCCCCAATGCCATCGAACCGGGAAGAGGCTGTTTATGTTCCCCTTGAGACGATCCATCAAATGGCATTGCTATTCCGATTCCTGGAATGGTCCCCTCATTCCGTGTCAGCCCAGGAACAAATGCTCCAGGAGTTGGCGATGCCTCAGACGGTTGGAAATTATCAGGCAAACGGTTAAAAAAACCTTGTTCATTATAGCCTGATACAAATTACATTAATTAGTACACACAAATTACAGCTTCAATTCTTCAATAAACAATAAATTAAAAACACTAGTTTCTGACAATAATACAACTTCAAAGTACAAGCTTTAAGATACTAATGGCCAGAGTTATCCAAAAATCGTTGTGTCTAATTTTTTAAGCCTGTAGAAATCTGCATCCATATAGACGACCAACTCCTGGAGCAGTCAAGTCTGGCTGGGTCGAGCCTGAACCTTAATAACTCAAGGCCTATTCGAACCAGCCATTATAGGACTGACCCTGCCAGGGCTTGACCAGTTAAGCCAATCAGAACATCTTTACTACTGAATCATATGGATAAGCCAATCATAACATCTTTACTACTTTATCATATGGATAAGCCAATCATACCCAGTGCCTACTAAAAAAATCAGATACTAATAGCCCAAAAAAAAACCTTGGTTCTGCATAGGCAGGACATCTCGGGGATTATCTGCAGGCCTGTTTCTGCACCAAAACTTGGTTGTGTGATCATTGCTACCACTGCAGATATTAAGGTAAAAAATCAATAACCGGAGCATTAATTATTCAAGAGCATAGATGACCCCATAACATCATAGAATAAAACTGTAAGGAGCTAATAGCACCAGATTCTCGTAATTGCTACCTGCAAAGAAGATATCCAATAGGATGCCATGCAAGATCCCAAACACTGTTATCATGAGCATTTGGAATTTCAATCTGCGGGTTTTCATGCCTGGGAATTATCAAAAGTTTTATAATTAGACACACCTCAAACAAAATCACAAAATAAAAGGTAGAGTTAGATCCTACTAGCATAAAGATGAGTCATGGCTGGATATAAAATTTAGAAAAGAAACATGATTTGAAAAATCCTTGTGTTCAAAGCAATAGCAGCATGAACAAATAAATAAAATAGCATACTGCTTCACAACAGTACCTACCCGACAATCCAGTGACAAATGAATCCGTCAAGACTCCCACTGACAAAATATTCTTCATGGAATGGATGCCACGCCAAAGCTTCAAAAGAGTTTCACAATAGTTGCAAATAAGAAAATGTCGAAGAACAAATTGAGAATTGTCATGTAACAGATAATTTAAAAAACTCTCAAATTTTAGACCCGAACTGATAATCTTTTGAACGCATATTCTTTAGAGTCCAAGTCAATGTACAGAAAAATAATTTTTATACATGCAATTTGTCTGCTTTCAAATATTTGAAGACATGATCGTTACAGAATTTGACAGCTTACATGTTACATCTTTCTTGTGCCCGCGAAAGGATTCAAGCTCCTTCATAGTCCTTATATCATAAAGCTACAGATTACATGCATAGGTGTCATACAAATGCTTCCATAATGCACGGAGAAAAGATATTTACAAATTAATATACCCCGAAGGAAGTGATCCTTACCTTAATTATTTGATCTTTTGAGGCCGTTAAAAGCCAATTGCCATTTTGATTCCACTTCACACTAAGCACCATGTTTTTGTGACCATGACTGCAAAAGTGAGAACAGGCCAATCACATTCATCAAAGCTTTGAACTTGAAATTATTAATAAGATATAGATTACGTTTTGTTCCACTTACAGTGAGCAAAGCTCTTTCCCAGTTTTAGCATCCCAGAGTTTGACAAGTTGGTCTTTTCCACCTGACAATACAGATTAAAACAGTTAATAATATAGGTCATAGAGAGAAACTCTCAAGTATACAGCGGTTTCTTTCTTATTGCATTGTTCAAAATCAGAAGTCTATAAATGATATACCAGAAGCTAGTAGGGACTTTGTGGGGTGCCAGTCAACGCTCTTGACATCCCAACCATGGCCTGCCTGAGTTCAAAATATAAAGAATCCTTTGGTCACTTCAATAATTCTCAAAACATACAAATATGAAAACAAAAAAAATGGTGAAAGCATGCCTTCAAAAGGATAGGAAACTTAGTTTAAGCTACATGTTGGAGCCTCCAATACTAACTACTTTTTACATGGCAAGACACCAAACCGAATCTCAATAACACCTTTTTCTGTGTAACCTAAGGGTCCAATTCTAATAACATCTAAAACACATCTGGCCTTCTGAATTCAAAAAGAAGAGCGAGAAGCAACTAAGAAGTTCACTATCTACCGCAAATCTGCTCAATCACATTACCGGTTAATGATTTTTCTGCTTGGCACCGAGCAAAATCCCAAACTTTAACAGTCGTATCATCAGAACACGAGCAGAACTTCAAATCTGTTTTACAGAAACTGTTTGATACACGTTAAAATTTGATGAGATCCATTTAACGCAATTTAACATATCGAAGTTTTAACCTTAAATCTCGAACTGATTCCTTGTGAGCAGTTTTATTGGCTTTCATATTGTTCATGTTGTCCTGCCAATACCTGATTCATAAGGAAAAACTAAATTGAATCATTAACTTCTGAGGTTCTAATTTACATGGTACAAGTTACAGATTGTGAGAAGAAAAAAAAATACTTTATTGTGCCTCCATCATCACCAGAGACCATCCAATGGTCATTGTGGCTCCATATCATAGACCTTATAGGTTGATCATGAGCCTGAAAATTGAAAGCAGCGATTTCGACAGTCAATACCAGGAGCAACAGCTATATAGGAAACAAAAACAGTACTCCCC